ATAAACAACATTTGTTTGTTACTCAGTACTTCACAGAGATCTTTTATGTGAATGTTGTAGTCCTCATTTTACAGATGGAGGGGGCTGAGGCCCAGAGAAAAGTGATTTGCTCAAAGTTGTACATTAAATAAATGCTGGAGCTGAAATTTGAAATAAATGTACATTGGCATTCAAGACTCGTTCCCTGGCAGTTTTGGCTAACTTTGAGATCTGATTATCCACAGTTAACCACAGGAGTTGTCAATAAGTTCAGCATGGGTTGTCTTCAGTGATAGAACTGAAGTAAAAATATGGGAAAAGATTTAGAACTGCCCCTGATGCCATATTTTTGTTATTAAATCCAGCATTAGTTGTACCAAAATACCATGTCACATTATATTTGAATTTTATTATTTTATTTGTGTTTATGAATTTGATTTGGTCTTAATTGTATAAATGCCCAAGCATAAAAAATTCTTTTACATTTACATTTATGTTTAAGTACAAATTAAACTACTTAACAACAATTAAAATACTTTAGATTAACATTAGAGGTCCATGATACTTTTTTAAATTTTAAAAAAGGAGTCTTACAGCTTTTATGGTCAAAGATACTGTTGTAGATAAGGGAATTGGGGATGTAAAATGGGTATGTGATGTGTCCAAAGTCATATAACTTTATGAGAGTCATATTCATATAGTCATGTAAGTGCCATATCCTGGACTAGGCAAACAAAGCCACCTGGAAAGGTGCTGTGCTCACTGTATCATGCTGTCAACTAGGTGAAAAAATGAAGTTTCTTTGTGTGTGTAGTGACCTGATCAGTGATCCTGTGCTTGAATAGCTTGTTACAAACTTTAGTTTCCCTTTTTCTTGTTTCCCCTTTTCTTTCCATATCACTCTTCTTTCTGCTACTTCTGTTTTCCTGACTTGGTGTCCTTTCCAGTCCAGGCCCATTTCACTCATTTGGTTTTTTTTTTTTTTTTTTTCTTAATACCCTTTACTTGCAAAAATAATCAAAATTTTTTAAAGTTAGAATAATATATAAAATATAAAAGATAAAATTAAGGTGACCAGCAGCACTACTACCCAACTATCATTGTCTAATAGAAGTTGGCAGCACTGTTAATGTTTTAAGTATTTCCTTCCAGTCTTTTTAGTAAAGAAAGGAAACTTTCAGTCTTTTTTCTTATGTGTATATTTTGAATATAGTTGGAATCATACTGTATGCCCTTTTTTATGTCTTTTTTTGGTGTTATGATTGTAACCACTTATTTTAAATAGCTTTAACAGTTTATCTCATTGAGGACAACGTATGCTGTTTATGATGGTACAGTTCTCTTTCTGAATATCTAGACCTTTTTGCAGGTTTTTCTTCCTTTTAAAAGAAGAGTACATTTATTCTTCTGATAACATAATTTTTAAAATTACAGTGTATACGTAAGAAAAAGAGTAAATGCCCCTACCTATTGTGTCTCTCAGAATTTCCCATATGATCACTACTTCTTATCCAAAGTAATTCTCTAAAACATTAACTTTGTTTAAAGGGAACCTATTTGTGATTTTTTTTCTTTTTCCATACCTTATCTTTGTTTTATTTCCTTTCCTCTCTTATTTTGTATTACGGTGGTAAGAGAAGACTGTTACCCTCTGCTATTATCATTCCCCAAACTAAACTATGTCAAATATCAGTTGCTGCAATTCCTTCCTTAACATAGATACAGCCTCTTAAATGCATTTAGTGTAGCTTCTAGAAGCACTGTTTTGATTGTCATAGATAACTTTGACTATTTTGTCTCATTATTCTAAGAGTTCTCCTTGCCATTTTTCACTATTTAGAAATTGCTGTTATCAACTCTAAATGTAATAATCTTCTTTATAATTAGTACCAATTGACTGAAAGGCAGATTTCATTGTGTTCTGCAGCATTGAGAATCATGTCTGACCAGGTGACCAGAAATATAAAAACAAAGAGAAACAGTATTTGGACACTGTTTGGTTTATTGACTCTTTTATTTCTTCTCTACTTTTACAGTAAGCGCCTACATAATTTCTGTATGTTTATTTCCTGTGTTTCTTCTACTTTGGCTCATTCTAATATAATTTCATGTGGGAGCTTAAATGTAGAACATGCCCATTCTCTAGGAAACCTAATCTGTTTATCTTTCCAGGTTGAGAACCTTTTTCATTTTATTTTTTTATGTGTGCCCAACATGCCCTTCCCAGACTGACTCAAGAACAGTTGTTCAGTTTTTCTTCCCCAAAGAGTATGAATCATAATTGTACATTCATGATTACTGTACTCAGGATTGGGTTGCATCTTGCCCCAACTCCATGGTGAACTCAGTTCTCCTCATACTTGTTTTTGGTGCTAACAGCCTAGCATAGGATGACATCTCACAGCATGATTGACTACTCTCTCAGATGAGTTGCCCAAAATTATGCAGTCTTAGATAGGCAAAGTGTAAGTTACCATTTTAGTCTACAAATAAGGAACAGCCTAAGCTGTTGTGATCCATTAACAGAAACAAGCAAGGACCAAGCACACGACTTTTTTCTTATACATGCGTATCTTATTTGGTGTAACAGATCTTATTCCCTCCATGTTGTGTTTTTCTTCTTTTGCAAGGCAGCAGCTAGAGACAGAGTTTTCTCTTTTCCTTACTCTTTCTATCTTTAGTCAACTGTACTTCTTTTAAGAATCGTATACCTAGTCATAAACTTAGTAGTAGAAGGAACTAGGTGGAATTTTTAGCAGTTGTGAGGAGAGTATTTTATTTTCCTGCTGGGAGAGGAATGGGCGGTACCCTAGAGTTTAATAGCTTGAATTTTGGTTTCAAGTCCTGACTCTGATTTACTAGCCTTTTATTTTCTGATTTGTAAAATGAGGATAACATTATTTACTCTAAAGCAAATATTCAGTAAATTGCAACTGCTCCAGTGCCACTTGAATCAGATTATCTAACTGAAATTAGCAGGTTTGTTTTTTGTGTTAGCCATCAAAAATGAATAACATACTCAGCACCTTTCTGGATCACCTGGTCCAGGAAGAACCTAAACTTTTCTTAGGGAAGTTTTTTAGATTGGAAGATGAAATGATAAGCAATCAAGAAAGATATAGCTCTGTTTATTTTTTTTTAAGGATCAGGGTTATAGATAGGAACAAAGCATGAGGGTATGATTTGTACCAGGTGTATCTACTGTTGTAAAAACTGTGGATAGGCCATTGCTCAGGACATGGTAGAGGTGTTGGAGGATATGAAATGATGGACGGAACATTGTAGCATCAAGAACATTGTCCCTAGTAAGCTGTTTGTCCTTGGGTGTTAACAAATGCTAACATTTAATGAACACTTAGTGCTAGGCACTGTGCTAGGTACTTTAAAGGAATTGTCTCATCTAATATATGCACCTTTTTGACATTGGTACTATTACTGCCATTTTACAGAGGAGGAAACAAAAATAACTTGTCTGATACCAGTATGTGATCTTTTCCAGCTGTCTGACCCCACATCTCATCCTCTTAATCACTGTGGTATATGCTTGCAATAACTACCATTTTGGAGTGCTCACTGTGGGTCAGACTCTCAGCTGATGCATTCATCCCAGCAACTCTTAGGGAAAAATGGAAAAACTGAGGCTCAGAGTTACTGATTCTTGAAGCTTCTTATCTTTAAAGAGATAAAGAGTGCCTTTCAAACATTTTTGACTGACACATAGGAAGAAATAAATTCTGTGATTTGACCCAGCAAAGTTGCATGCATATATACCTAAAATTTTCAGGAAATGACACTTAACCGTAATCAGTCTGATCCTTTCTAGTCTGTATAATTAAAAGTTAAAATCTGGTGATAAACTACTAATGTGATGTTACTACCTTCTACTAAAAAAAACAAAAAAAACAATGCTGTGGAGTTGATTTTGACTCAAAGGACAGAGTACAACTGCCCCATAGGATTTCTAAGGCTATAAGTCTTTACAGAAGCAGACTGCCTCATCTTTCACCTGTAGAGTGGCTGGTGGGGGTTTGAGCCGCCGACTTTTTGGTTAGTAGCCTAATGCTTTAACTAGAGACAAAAAGTACTAAGGTTCTTTCAGCTTCAATATTTTGCTGTTTGTAATCCTAGGTCAATCAGAGTCATAGAATGTATGTATAATCTAACTCTGTGACTGATGAATACTTTCTTGTAATATTACCGGCAAATGGATATCTAGTATATATTAAACATCGCTGATAACTCAGTATTTAATAGAGCGCAGTCCCTTGGAAAATACGAATCAAGGAATATTTCTAATGTTTATATCTCTGTTGTAAATTGAAAATGTTATAGAGGTAGGTAGGATGTAGGTGATCTACTTATAAACATCTTAGTACTAAAGCCATTGCATAAAATTTACAAATTTATTGTAGGGAAGACTTGCCAAAGATGAGAGATTAGGGAAGTTTGGTTAGTCCATATGAGGGGAAGGGGAATATTTAATAATAAAAAACAAAACAAAACAAAAAAACCTTTAATTTGAGGTATTTGTTGTTGTTGTTGTTGTTATGTGCCGTCGAGTCGGCCCCGACTCATAGCGACCCCTCCTTGGGTTTCCGAGGCAGTATCACTACGGAAGTAGGATTGCCCAACCTTCCTTCCGAGGAGTGGCTTGAAAATCAAGTTTTAAGCGGAACTTAAGTTTTTATATTTGATTGCATGCATACTTAGATTTTGAGTAATTGCTATCAAATTGCATTTAAATTTTTATTGTAAAATGCAGATAACAAAAATTTGCCATCAAACTGCATTTTGATAATAGAAACTCTGCTATTCAATTTATATAGTTTTTTATGGCATTAGATTATAGCTTAATAAAAATCATGATGAAATCTGACATGCTTGTTAAAATACTCTTGATTTGTAAACATTAAATGCATGTTTTAACTTTAGGATGCAGTGAAAAACAGTATGTTAAAAGATATCAGTCTAATATATATTGACCTATTTAATCGCTTCCCTTATTTGTTACTTTCCTTTAGGTTGGATGGAGTACTGCTCGGGATTATTACACATTTTTGTGGTCCCCTATGCCTGAACATTATGTAGAAGGATCAACAGTCAATTGTGTTTTATCATTTCAAGGTAAGAATAGAAAATTTCAGAACTTGAAATTAGGTGTCTTATTACCATTAAAGGGAGCTCTGGTGGTGTAGTGTGTAAGGCATTTGACTGCTGGTGGGGTTCAAACCTACCAGCCACTCCTCGGAAGGAAGGTTGGGCAATCTACTTCCATAGTGATACTGCCTTGGAAACCCAAGGAGGGGTCACTATGAGTCGGATCCGACTCAAGGACAGTGAGTCTGTTTTTTTTTTATTGCCATTAAAAATGTTGTACCCCAATGCACTTGCCTGCCTAGGCATGTTCAGGGCACCAGAGTTTAATTAATTAGCGTCTTTGTTTAGCAAGTCATAGGAATGTAAGTACTTAGTGTAAGCTACATGCTATGTTATTTTATGTAGACTTTTAAAAGTATTTTTACTTGTTATCTTAGTTTTCATTGAAGAGATTGAATTTCTTTCCAGCTCTTTTTTTTTTAATTTTTATTGTGATTTAGGTGAAAGTTTACAGAGCAAATTCACTTTCCATATAGCAGCCTACCTGTACTTTGTCTCATGACATTTGACTACGATTTCCCACAGTGCAACAGCTCCCCTTTTACTTCGTCCCCACAGTTACCTCTTCTCTGTGCCCTTCCCTCCCATGCACTCCTGCCCCCCTGAGGTGTCTCCCTGTGCATACATAGCCCTTCTGTTCTTCTATGATTGATTTCCAGATCTTTTTTAAAAATTATGCTGAAAATATATGTAACAAAACATAAGCCATATCAATAATTTCTACACGTACAATTCAGTGACATTGATTATGTTCTTCAAGTTGTACAACCATTCTCACCCTCCTTTTCCAAATCATTTTGCCACCATTAACATGATTTAATGTCCCCTGAACGTAAATTTTCCCTTAAAAACCAAACTCACTGTCGTGGAGTCAGATCCAACTCATAGTGACCCCTCCTTAGGTTTCTGAGGCAGTGTCACTATGGAAGTAGATTGCCCAACCTTCCTTCTGAGGAGTGGCTGGTGGGTTTGAACCGTCAGCCTTCTGGTTTGCAGTCAAATGCCTTAGGCACTACACTACCCAGAGCTCCCAAATTTCCCCTTATCGCCCCTGCTAAAACGACAAGGAGGCCACATGTTCCGACCTCCTCTAATTCCACAAAGGGAAGACAGGGTTACCAGCAGTAACCCAAGGCCTATTACTGCCAGGCCAGACATGTTGCCTCCCTCCAG